ACACATACATACATATATAAATTTGATGTTTACTAGTTTAAACATTAAAAAATACATAAAAATAAGTTGTAGATCAATCTAAATACATTAAAATAACACATAACCATAAGTTTTAATGTTTTACGTCAATCCATATACGTCAAAAAGAAAATAAAATATAATACCGAAAAAAATATAATTTTAGATGAATACAAACACATCAAAAAACATTATAACATTTACCATATGTTTTTATTTAGAGAAAACTAAATAGATTTGAAAAAAATCATCAAAGTTTATTAAGCAAATAGTTCTTTTCCATGTGTTTTTATTCGGTTTAACCGGTTCAACAGGTTTATTTTGACAGGTTCAACCGGGTTTTCCTAAAAACCGGTCGGTTCAATCCGGTTCAGAAATCGATATAAAACCGATGATAGTTGAACCGTTCTCTCCCCCGATTTCCGGTCCAACCGGTTCGACCGGCCGGTTCAAACCGGTTTTTAAAACATTGAAGTTAGTCAATTTCTATAAGAAAATTATTCAACTAAATTGACCATTAAATATATTAATTAATTAAAGATAGAGATTAAAGTTAATAAAATAATAAAATAATAATATTTTTAAATCATAATATATATTCATCGTTAAAGATCCTCTGTTTCCATCCATATCCCAAAAACCACTAATCTCTAGATTGTATCACATTATTCTTCGTAAATATGTTACAAAATCAACAATTCTTCCAAAGTGGACTTACAAATCAACAGCTAAAAATAATATGGAGGACGCCTGTTATTGCAAAGAAACTTTTAGTAATTGAAAGGCATGTGATCAATTAAAGACTATGTGTTTATATTCCTATTTTATATTTCATCATCATTTTTGTGTATGTTAGCACCACATTATTTATTTTTCTATTATTTTTAGTTGAAACAACATGAACCTTTTATATATATATATATATATATATATATATATATATATATATAATATATATATATATATATATATAATCAACCTTTTCCATGTTGATATTCAAAAAGAAATGTAACATGCGTATCACATGAACATTAACAGGAAAACCGGTTTTATAGAGCTTATTTTTGTACTAAAAAAAATAGATAAATTCATCATTTTTAACATCTATACATACTTACATTCATTTTTTTTTTTTTTTTTTTTGCATATAACGTAAAATGTGTATCATATGCATATAGATGGAGAACGGAATTAGGAGGGATTCTAGGGTTTCTAAAATATTCTTAAAATTAATAAGGATACCATACTTGAATATAATAAATTTGAATATTTTATTATTCAACTCTAAGGTTTTCTTTGTCTCATCCATACTATAAATAAGACACCAAGGGTTATAATTTTCGTGCATACTCTTCCTTGGAAGATACTCTGGCCAAAAATCTCATCCTTCCTCTCTCTCCTCTCGTCTTCTAGTTTTAAGGTTTGGGTGTGAGCCATTAGAGCTATCATCTTTTTGGTGCTAAGCTTTCCATGACCTACACTACAAGGAGATTGAAGTGATTTGTTTACTACAACAAAACACTAGGGCTATGATAGGTTTAGTTGTTCATTGTATGTTGCTATCAAGGTATATGGCATAAATCTTTTATAGGATGCATACACCCTATTAATTGTTAATTGGTTTCCGTATTGTACAATTTTGTTTTCTATAAAACTCAACAGTAGTATCAGAGCTTAGGTTTGTCAAACAATGATTTCACATTAGTTGAATCAAACTAAACATATTATTCGCAAAATACTGATCTCCCGATGTGAGACTACAGCTCTCACGACTTGAGCACAATTTTTCCAGATTTTCGGTCATTGTCTTCCTAATTAGATTTATGGTGTTATTTTTGGTAATTATCATGAACACTATGACATGTACTCGCCCTGATGTGGCTTTTGCGTTGAGGATGGTTAGCCGATATCAAGGGAACTCGGGTAGAGCTCACTGGACAATAGTTAAGAACATTCTTAAGTATCTGCAAAGGACTAAGGACTGGGTCCTTATACTTGGAGGCAGTGATGACTTGAGAGTGATAGGGTATAGCGATGCCATCTTTCAGATTAACAGAGATAACTTCCGCTCTCAGTCGGGCTGGGTGTTTACCCTAAATGGAGGAGCAGTGACTTGGAAAAGTTCCAAGCAGGAGACCGTGGCTGATTCAACGTGTGAATCAAAGTACATAGTTACGAGCAAAGCATCGAAGGAGGCTATATGGCTGAAGAACTTCATTGGAGACCTTGGAGTTGTACCAAACATAAATGAGCCCATGGAGATTTTCCTACGATAATGAATGAGCGGTTGCCTTAACCAAGGAACCAAGGGATCATGGCAGATCTAGCCGTATCGACAGAAAATACCACTTCATCAGACATCGGGTAGAAGAAGGACTCCTCGTGGTCAAGAGGGTATCGTCAGAAGAAAATCCTGTGGATCCCCTCACAAAGGGTCTAAGTAGGATCAAGCATGTTTAGCATGCGAGGAGCATTGGTCTGAAGGACGATATTAGTTTTAGTGAGTAGATAGATGTTTAGAAACTTGTAATAGATAAATGTAATTGACATTTAATGATTATATAATGGAGATTTATATGTGAGTAATGTTTAATATCTTTTGTCAATTGTTTACTATTGTTTCACTTTTGCATGTTTTTACTTCCAGAATAATTGGATTATTCAAATTATCCACAGTCGATCATACATTGGAAGTAAGTTATGAGGCAAGACTATCATGAATTGATTTGTAGATTGTCTAAGTGCTTAGACATAGCAAAGGTTTGCTGCAACATTCACGTGTACTCCTGAAATAAGATTTGAGTGTTGGATTAAACCCACGCTCATTTGAATTACTTCATGGAATTCATCACGAGTAATTGTGAGACGATAATATCGTATAATCTTTAAACCGAGATATATGAGTTGTTTTTTACGAGTTGGTTGTGCATTGATAATGCGTAAACGCATCAGTAACTTGATGTTATAAAATGTGTTGTTGTGTATGATTTGATGAGTAAATAGTACAAGCATATAAGTCAAAGTTTATCTGTTCCTTTTGCCCTAACTGGAAAAGTGATATCTTGGGCCCCTCGATGATTTTGTGTTAACTTATGTGTCGGGCCTGGTCAGGACTGAATTGATGTGTTCAATTAAGTTCGTTGTCAGACAAATCAGAAATCGGGAAACAAACTGTTGGACATTGAGAATGATTATGTTCCATGTCTTTGTCCACACGATACCTTGTAGAACGGAGGATTATATGACCCCTTATCTAAATGACGCGTGTCTGACTAGGGCAGAGTTCGACAACGGCTTTTGAAAGCTACAATTGCTAATCTGATTGTGAAGTCATACATGCAATTTTAGTTATTAGACTTATCCAAGTAAGTGGTTCTAATACGTTGTTGTGAATTGGGTACTTACCAAATGTTTTAATAGTACTCCATATTTTCCTTCATAATTCCCCTCAACTGCACTGTTGTCCAAAATTTCAATTGATGGTTTCTTTAAGTTGAAGACAATCACAAAAATATGAGCACTTATAACAACTGGAAAGAATAACTGTTTTTATGTATATAATGGTAAGTATTTTGGTGACAAAATATATATAAAAAAACAAGCTAAATTAACATACCATGTCAATATCTTTTATGTTCAAGATTTTTTATATCTATCAGTGCTCTCATGAAAGTTCTCCTTGAATTTTTCATACTTTCTTTCATCAGACAATGTTGAAGATACATAAGCATTTTATAACCAAAATAATTTTAAAGGATTAGTAAGTTGTTAATCATAAATTGATACATCATATTTGTATATTAATCATAAGTGGATACTAAAGATATTTATTTTTGATTTTTACATTAATAAATGAATACATCATTTTGTTATAATCATATATGAATTTTAGTTGCCTATACATAATTATCTTAAATGATACTAAATAAATCTAATATTCATAAATGAATACATCATATTGATATATTCATTTATCAATAAAGAAGAAATTAATGTTAGAACACAAACTTAAAGAAACTTCAACTTTTATGAAAAGTTTGTATGGTGAATTTCCGACATCACTTCCCAGTTCTTGGTGGTTAAGTAAATCAGCCCAGGTGTGTAAAACTTCTACAAAAATCTCCATGTTTCCATATAGAATTTACATAAATTCTCTTTGTGTTACATGACCATATTTTGTATGGACAACCACATCTCTGCAAATATATAATCAAAATGTTATATATTATTATTTATATAATAATCATATATGAATAGGTCTACAAAATAAAGTTACTTATGATATATTCCCTTGCAAGTTGAACAACCAATCACAAACAATAGTCTCCTGATGTGTCAGCTTAGGTTTTATGTCTATTATCCTCCATTTATAAGGTGATTTGAAAGGACCAGTAGGCTTCTTCGGTCTTTATTCATCCAGATTATGCTTTGAGGGTCCTACTTCTGTGGGAATTGCTAAAGAGATTGGATTTGGATTAAGAATATTTTTTTTGATAATCTGATCATAACCCACTGATGATCTTCCTTGATTTGTTTCTTTGTAAGTGGTTTTTTTTGGTGAAGATTCATTAGATTATTTACTTGAAGTTTGATCTTAATCTTGAGTGAGACTTAGACTAAAGCTTGGATGAGTATTATCTTCATTTTTTGATTTTTTACCTGCTATAAAATTTACATAATATATTAATATACTATGAAAAATATAAATTTTAACGTAATATATTAAGTATAATTAATTAGCGAATCGTCTATTTACCTCCATCACCTGCTTTTTTGTTCTCAACTTCAATCCCCTTTTTATCACCTTCAAAATTCAAATCATATATGAATATTGAATCATATAAATAATTATATGTTAATTATAATATATTTTTTATATTTTATTCATATATGATTATTGATCATTCCAATCATATACGAATTTTCAAATGTTTTTCCAAATTGCTACTTCTATCATTTCATTTTGTCTTCTCAGCTTCTTCTTATTCTTCTTCTTCTTCTTTTTCATCTTCAGACTTTCCCTTGCCTGAAAGATACACACCATATATGAATATTCTATCTATATTCAAAATATTGCATTACTTATTCATAAATGAATATAAATATTTTGATATATTCACTTATGAATAAGTAAAGCACAAAATTACTTATGAACAAGTAATTCTATCTTTTACTTATTAATACATGAAAAATGTGTTATTAAAAAAAATCAATGTTTCAGGTATGCATAAGTAATGCATATCATTACTTATGAACAAGTAATATTATCTTTTTTATTTATTCATATACTGTCTTATTCACTTGTGAATAATCAATCTTATTATATTCACTTATTAGTGAATCATCCATTTACCTCTATCATCTTGTATTTCCTTTCTCAAATTCTCCTCCTTATTTATCTTCACGTTCATCTTTTTTTTTCCTCAGTAGTTTCAACTTCTCCTTGTTTATCTCCACCTCTATCATTTCCTTTTGTCTTCTCAACTTCTCCTCCTCCTTTATTTCCATGTTCAGACTTTCCCTTGCTTGAAAGATATATATCATATATAAATATTCTATCTTTTTTACTCATTTATATACTGTCTTATTCACTTATTAATAAGCAATGTTATTAAAAAAAATCAATATAAGCATTGTTGTATATTCACTTAATAGTGAATCATCCATTTACCTGTATCATCTCCCTTTCCTTTCTCAACTTCTCCTCCTTGTTTATATACACCTTCTGAGTTTCCCTTCCTTGCAAGACCCATATCATATTATATATCAAGTATAATTAATTAATGAATTATTGAATCTATAATAACATTTTATTATTTGTAAATAGATAATAAGTTAATAGTAACATTTTATAAGTTAGTAGTAGCATTTTTTTATATTCATTCATATATGAATAACAAATACATACCTTGAATAACTTGACTAATCGGAGTATTAGTTTTAATTCCAGTCATTGTTGACCCTGGTCAAAATTTAATAAAAAAAATTGTTATTGTGTATTAATATTTTTATAAAAAAAAGTAAGTCAAAATTTACCTATATCATTATTATCCAAAATAGTTTTCATTTCAGGGTCATTCCAGATTTCATCTTCTTGACTATTTAAATTTGAAAATTCAATGCCAATGACATTATCCACAATGTTTTCAACAAATTTTATCCAACAGATTTTGATTTGTTTCATTTTTCTACTAGTCTCAACATCATTATTTGTTTCTTCAGTCTCCTCATCGTTTTTCTCTTCATCATTCTCATTTTCATTTACCTCTCCATCATTCTCTTTTGTTTCAGTTTGATCTTCCATTTTCTTTTCATCACTTTCCTTTTTATTGGACTCTCCATCATTCTTTGTTCCTTCATTCTCCGTTTCGTTTCCATCAAGCAAATAATATACTTTAGGTTCTGGTCCATCATTTTCATTGTCTTCTTCACCATTTCCCTATTTATCTTCATTATCTTTTTCATCATTTCTTTTTGTAGTGTTTATTAATCGAGTATATGAAACAAAATTAGAGTTTAGAATGAATTATGAACACACGATGTAAATACGATTTGTATGGCTCGATTACGCTTTAACAAGACATAGAGAAAAATAGAGAGTACAAGTCGAAGACTCCAAGAACTAGTCTAACTCTAGTACCCATACCATATTAATAGGGATAACAAAAGCATACAAAAAAATATAAGGGACTAAAACATTACAGTTTCGACACAAACACTGCCCTTATACAAAACATACAAACTAACTTTCGAAACTAAGACTGAACTAGACAGACTTCGACGCCTCACAACTACATTTGAACTCAACATTCTCCCCCTTTGTGATAAGTGTCGAATTAAGTCATCATCATCTGAGCAGCTTGATGTATCACCCTTCGAATTTCTGAATACCAGTTTATCACCTTGCGAATTTCAGCTTTGTTACCATCATTGTTCTTTGCACAACTATTCATTCGAACAATAAGGTTTGTATAATGAGGTATGGTATATCTTTCAACATCACAAGCTTGAAACAAAAATTTCGTAATCTTCCCCTTCTTGTTCTTTCCAACAAATACAATCCCGAGTGGCTTCAAACAAATTTCCCCATCCTCAAAGCTTTTCAAACTAGTTTGACTCTTCAACATAGATTGAGGCACTGTGATTTGTTTCCCTATTGCTAAGGATAATTCAACATCAGTTAAAGTGAGGCAACCATAGTAATTTTCAATATACAATTTGATGTGAGCAAATCCGATTAGGAAATCCTCTTTTCTCTTCATTTGAAGCTTCGAGACATCAACTCCTTTCAAAATTCTAGGAACACAAATCATATCATGAAGATTCATCAAAGGGAAGTCTGCTACCGAGAAGTAAAAAGCAACATTGTTTGCTCAGACAACATGATATCGAAAATTCTGCAACACTCCCTCGAACAAAACGTCTTTGGAAATGTTGAGAACTCGGACTATCTTAACCAAGGACCAAATCTCCTCTTCCCTTTTTCCAAGAACAACATGGAATCGAATCTTCAATCGTTTATATTCATCCTTGTCTTCAAACTTATCAGTGATCTGATATTGTGCAACCATGAACATCATCTTGTTGATTGGGAAATCCAACTGATTAAAATCAGTATTCTCTGCAACATAACTCTTCTTGGGGACTTTTTTGAAATCGTGCATCTCTCCACCTAAAACCAGGGCTTCAATGTTTTCATAGCAATAATGTTTCGAAGGATCACCCTTATCAAGACCAGGAGGGTCACTTGCCCTTTGACGAAGTATGCTTTGAATCTGCCTTTACCTTTCCATTTCCTTTTAAACGACAACCTTTTTCTCTTCTGCAGTTGGTTCTAAAGAGATACCCTTCCCTTTACTTTCCATCTCTTCTGCTGATGGAGGAGGCTTCGATGAACTAGATCCTCCAACAGCAGAACCAATTACTACACCTTTCGTCAATGGCTTTCTTGTTGTTGTTGTTGTTGAAGTAGTTGTAGATGAAGTTTTTGGCAACGAAGTGGGAATTTGAGTAGACATGACTTTCCCAACTACTTTCGCATCACCAACACCTTTCCCTGAACCACTTCCTACCAAACCAGCACCCGTCTTTATGCCAACACCACCCTTTCTCCCCCTTGCACCCCTGTGTGAACATGTAGGGCATCAAATTAATCAGCTTCGCAAGTGGAGCTAATTTAGCCTTGAGTGAGGACCCCAAACACATAAACTTCTGAGATAGGATTCCAGAGTGAGCAACGAGGATGATGAAGAACCAATCTTCGAAACTAATTCCTTAAGATTGTTCAACGTCTCTTCAATTTTGCCAAAACTCTGAACATCAAGTTCAGCCTTCGTATCAACCTTAGGAAGTAACGAATGATACCACTTAACCATATTCGTGACAACATCATCAATTATATCCACCTTGGTGTGAAGAGAAGAATAATCATGAGTAAGAGCTGTAACTTCCTTCGCCATATCAACCTTGAGTTCCTCAATCTTCAGGTTTACATCCTCACGAACCTTTTTAACATCTTGAACAAACAAAAGATGCCTTTCATTGGAAATTGCTTTTAACTCCTTAAGCTCATGATTGAAAGACGAAGACTGAGCCTTTACACGAAACTCATTGTTCCTGTCCAGTTTTTCCATTTCATTTCTCAATCGAAGCTCTTGGGCATTGAGCATGACATCGACTTTGATAACAGAGACAATATTTCGAACCCCAGCATCAGCCTGAATCAGTAATAAAGAGTTGAGCTTCCTGTTGAGAATTTTAAATTGCTTACCAGACATCAGCATATGGTCTGGGATGTTCTCCTCCTCTGGATCAAATTGGCTTTGTGCAAAAGATCCCATAAAATCACCATCTTCTGTAGTATCATCCTTTGGAATAGATTTGTGACCTTCCGTGGATTGTGACAGAAATAAAGAAGTGATAGGTTGATCTATGATGTTTTCAAAATTTGGGGAATGTGTGGATTGTGGCAATGTGGTAGAAATGGTGGAATGAAATGGTGGTAGAGAAGTAGTGGTATTAAGGGTAGATGTTTCGAATGAAGATGAAATGATAATAATAGAAGTATCATGGGCTTCGGTGGTTGACACTCCATCACCCATGTTGACGCGTCCATATTAGATATGTTCGCAATGATGCCTGAAGTCCGAACCTCCTCAGATACTGATTCGATATGCAAAACTTCGGGTGGTATGACTGTCGTCTGCTCATGAGTGGATAGTTGCGAATAATCACCTTGATTGATGGCTGTTTCCACATTAGATGTTTCCACATTTCCACCAGGACCCCCAGTCTCCTCGAAATTCGACTTGATTGGAGAGCCCCTCGAAGGTGATGGAAAGCCCATATATGCATCATGATGAATCAGAGACTGAGAGTTACCACTGTCTTCAAACTCTGTCTCTAGTACCACTTCGTCCATAGAATCATGAACCACCTTTTTCGTATTTTTAGATATTCGTTTGGCCATATCTTCATCTCGTTGTTTCTTAGATGCAGGAGACACTGGAGTAGGAATTTCACGAATAACAACTCCCTTGCGATTAAGTTGTGGCTTACAAGTAATCTTTGATTTCACATCTTTAACAATTGGCCTTTATGGGGAATGACGAGGCCTATGATCCATTTTCTTCAACCTCTTAAGTACCCCAGACTTCGAAGGAATAGTTTCCTTGGCTGGAATAGAAGTATCTTCAACAATCGGTTTAGTAACTTCCTTTGGAGTTGGAACAGACTTTAAAACTTTCTTAGGAGAAACTTTAACAACTTTATCAACTGGCTCAGGACTAGGCTTCGAAGGACTAGCCTTAACTCCCTTCTTAGAACCTTTTCTCTTCTTCGATCTTCCACCAACAACTTTTGGTAACAACACTCCAGTCTCAATCGAAGGATTGATAGTTTTAAGATAGGCCACCAGAACTAGATTTGTATGATCAAGCTTTCGAAGCATAGCATCAGGGATACGAGCAATCGAAGGAAACTCATCCGGATTATCCTTCACCGTCTTCAGATGATGGTACAGAGCAAATTCAGCCTTAGGTTCATTATCAGTAACAACAATACCTTCCTTTTCATATGCAAACATCAAAATTAGACTCCAGTAACGATCACAAGAAATTCCATTCACCACATTCGTGTTGCCGATGCTTTTTGAAAAATCTTCCCACAACTATGTTGCATAATCAACTTGTAAATCATAGTAAAGGCTTGCTACCATGGCATAAATTTCCAATTTCGCCTTATCCAATCCAACGCTTCGACATGTTAGGCATTGAAGAAAAATACCAAACAAAAAATTCTAGATGCAAGGCAAAGAAGATTTTGTGAAATCACTTATCTTTGTTAATGGTGGTTGATAACCCATTTCATTGAACATGTGAAGCAGTCGTTCATTGGAAACCTCATAGAAAGGTTCGTCATTAGGGATATTCAAGATTTGAGCAAACATCTTCTTGGTTAACTTGAACTTCTTCTCAGTAGTTAATTGATAGGTAACCACATTGATTGTCTTGTTGAACACCGCAGTTGAACCAGCAAGCGACAACCATGTCATCGGTACAAAAAAAGAGGTCGACATTGTTGTAGACAAAACAGAGTGGTTCAAAGCGACAATGAGCATCTTCAATTCGTCAGGATATTGTGAAACATCCGGTTGAACTCGGTAATTAGCGCTTTGAATCTTCAGTAAAGGTTGAGAAGTGATGTCATCAGTAGTCTGAGAAGGATCAACAGTCACATTTGGAGCCGCCACTGGTAGGGTTTGAAAGCTTTTGAGAAAACAGGACGTAAAGGGCAAGAAAATTTGGGGAAAATTTGATCGCGTAAAGTTAGAAAGAGATGACTCAAAACCGTTTTAAACGTAAAGCCCAATTTGAATTTGAAGCGGCTAAGCATTAAATGCTCCATGTGTCACCTTGTAAACTGGACCAGTAGCCGTAAAATTAGCCACGTCTGAAAAGTGATGATCTCTTTTTCCTTAAAAACTACAAGGTAACCAGAATGCCACATCAATCAGTCTGTTCGCTTGTCCCAATGGGATAAGAACCATCATAAATCCTTCAGCATGGAGGCTAGGATCTTTCGCTTTTGGGTTGAAAAACGAAGTCATACACCATTCTTGAAAAATCATCAGCCTGAGTTGGTATTACATAGAACCTCAAGGATTTCGTGAGTGCATATGTGTGCCAAAGAATAATATAAGAAACAAGCAAAATAAAATTGGATTAAGTGATGTCAATAAAAAATCGACATAAAAGCAGTTAGATCCCAAGAAAAGATCACTTCGTTCACATCAAGAGAGATGTG